ATGTCTATCATATTACAGTATATTTTCGGTTTTATTTAGTTTAGTTTAATTAGGATAATAAAAAGCTATTAAAACACTGGTTTTAGAAATGATTTATTAATCTGAAACTTTCAAAGTCATGGGTCACTGAACTATAACAACACAGACGAAGGAAAACCAAGTGAGGTTTTCAGTACAGTATTCCCTTATGTCTACCTCACTCACCTTGTTTCATCACAGAAAATGTCTATAAGGAGATTAAGGAGATTTTACAACATGTAGCCAGCTAATCACGCTTCAGCCTTTAAATTAATTTACAAAGATACGTCTGCCACAAATCAGTGAACGAAAATTATGGAAACTGTCGTTCATTTGTGTGGACCACTCTGGCTGGTATTTGGTTCATATGGTTCACTTGTTGTGTGGTCCACTTAATTGTGTGATCCAACTTGTCTTATGAAGGAATTATTAATTGTAAACTGTGATAGAATGAGACAGTTTTCCACAACTCTGTGAACTCTGTCCCAACATTGTAAGCTTGTGGACCATTTGTGCGGTCCACTTGTGTGATCGAACTTTTCATATGGGGGAACTATTAATTGTAATCTGTGATAGAATGAGAGTTTTCCACCACTGTGAACTCTATCTGGACGTTGTAAGCAAATCCGAACATCCCTCGCTTCGGCGAACCATTGTTCGTCGAATCGGGTGAGTAAATCCGGCCTGAAAAATGTGCGAACTAGCCGGAGATTCGTTGAAACGGGGTACGTTGAATCGAGGTTGTACTGTAGCGAGTGGCTGGCTGGTGTGAGGCAGTCTCTCCTCCTTGCTTTTCGACTCAATACCAACTTAGTGGTTCGTTATGATGAACAAAACATGCAGATACTTATATATAACCTGTGTATAGAGTGTAATAGCAGCAAAACTATTTGTTTATTGTTTTATAAACATAATAATTGAATCACTAATATGCACATCATACTTTTGAGTATAGCGATTATTCACCACTTTTATTATATAAATATATTACAATACACACTATTGAATAATATTACTGCAAAAAAACTAAGAAAAACTCAGAGACATAGAAATAATTAAGTGATATCTTTGTGGCAACTCCCATCTGTCAGCGCGGGTGACGCTGACCGGCTCTGACGACCGCTCTGTCAACGCCCACTTTTTGCCAGACTTCCTCGGTCAATTGCGCCCAAAATGTGTCACCTACGATTTTTTTTTTATTTTTCCCGTGCTCGGGGAACACACATTAACCCTTACACTGCTCAGGAGTCCTGGGGACATTTACACCCCTGTGCGCAAGAAAAAAAAAAATCAAATTTTTTTTTTCGTCTTCTGAACATATTAATTTGTGTCCCCTGAGCACGGAAAAAAAAAAAAAAATCGTAGGCGACATATTTTGGGCGCAATTGACCGAGGAAGTCTGGCAAAAAAGTGGGCGTTGACAGAACGGTCGTCAGACCCGGTCAGCGTCCCCCGCGGTGACAGATGGGAGTTGCCACAAAGATATTATTACCTAATTGTTTGAATGTCTCCGATTGATTTTTTTCTTAGTTTTTTTGCAGTAATATTATTCAATAGTGTGTATTGTAATATATTTATATAATAAAAGTGGTGAATAATCGCTATACTCAAAAGTATGATGTGCATATTAGTGATTCAATTATTATGTTTATAAAACAATAAACAAATAGTTTTGCTGCTATTACACTCTATACACAGGTTATATGTAAGTATCTGCATGTTTTGGTCACCATAACGAACCACTAAGTTGGTACTGAGAGTCGAAAAGCAATGAAGAGTTGCCGCCACACACCAGCCAGCCACTCGCTGCCACTCCCTCAACACACGCACTAAACTTTCTTCCCCAACAATACCATTTGTGGTGTTATTACACTATATATAGACGTTATATATAAGTATGTATATATTGTGTTCACCACAACTGTACAGCTAAGCTGATATAATTAGTTCAGGCACTAAGAGTCGTCGCTATACACAGCTGGTGGCTGGCAGCTCCCTCACTCTTTCAAGGTCACACGCACTAAACTTTCTCCCCCAACAATACTGTTTGCAGTGTTATTATCCTATATGCACACATATTATATATAAGTATCTACATGTTGTATGCACCGTAACTGTACACCTAAGCTTGTAGAGTGCCCAAAGAGCATAGTGGCCACCCTCTAAACAGCTAGACAAATCGTGCAGATGACGTCACCTCCGTCACCCATGTGGCTCCTCCCAGCATAATCCTTTTGCTGTTATTACACTAATACACACATTATATATAAATATCTACATTTGTGTTCACCATAGAGAACCACTGACCTGGTATGGTGAATGTAAACAATAAAAGCTAGCCATACAGTCAGTAAACGATGCTGTCTCCCTCCATCTCTCAGCATCACTCCTCCCACAGCGCTAATTATTACAACAATCCTGCTATTATCACAACCCTGGTTATTTATATCACAGTCATGCGTCATCTGTAATATTGTCATCGCTAAATAATAGCAGTTATATATTTATTTTGACATTTTTCGGCGATGCTGTGGTCACAAGCTGAACAGCAATGCTGTTCGCTCATGCTGCGTGCGCCGGCCTTGGTTGCTCCAACAGTACTGTGCCTCTCACACCTGAGAATATTGCCCACGATTTTTTTTTAAAATGGCATCTGTTTACAAGAGCCCTGAGGAAGCTACTGTGAACCCCGTGTAGCCGCGGGCCATTTGAATCGGGCCTGGCACCCTATGGCGTATATATACGCCATGCGCACCGTGGGACATGTTACTCAGGGCGTATATATACGCCATGCGCAGTTTAAGGGTTAACATTTTAAGAAGACGAAATAATTTTTTAGAATTTTTTTTTCTTGCGCACAGGGGGTGCAAATGTCCTCAGGACCCCTGAGCAGTGGAAGGGTTAAAAAGTACTATAATAAACTGTTTAGATTATGGCCAGGTACAAGAGGGGGGGGGGGTATTTGATGTAGGTTTTCAAGTACCGGTAGGTTATGGGCATGAATAACGAGGGTTCTGAAGTCTTGGAACTGGTTTGAACTTGCAACATCGTATACTTGGTGTAGAAATATTTTTTAAGAGGAATATAGGGAGTACTGTTTTAAGTATAGTAAGTACTGTTTGTGAACATGATTGTGGATGAGTTGAATGGGCTGCCACTAAGGACTATTCAGATTAACACTTCATCTGGTTTCAAGAGTATATAAAATTTGTATATGAGATAGAGGGGGTTGGATTTGAATGTGTGCTGCCTAGTTATAGCCAACAGGCCTGCCATGTTGTTCCCTAGTTCTTATGTTCTGCAAGTGAGTGACAGGCTGAATGATTATTGATGGAATATTGTTGAAAATGACATGGAATCGTGTGGCGAAGAAATGAGCATAAGCCCCATGTTGCCTACAGTCTCTGTAATAGGAGTTTAATGATCTCTGGAATGTAATCTTGGAGTGACTTAACAGCAACAGGTCTGCTCAGGTCCATATAAATGGTAAAGTGAGCAATGCCTGTATAATGCTAGCCAACGTCATCTAGCTTTCAAGTACATGGGCAGTATAATGATTTTTTGTATTTATGTGCTTTTGAAAATAGAATTCAGTACAGTACAAAGTTCAGAGGCCTGTAATAAAATGGATCACAAATTTCAGTTGAAGTGGTTAGGTTTCCTGAAACTTCCTTACCTGGAAGATAGAACAAACCACGAGGGACATTGTAGTTGGGGGATGGAACAACATTGTGGAAAGTTTTATGTATAAGATTTTTTCCCTCCCTCCCTCCCTCCCCCTCCCTCCCTCCTCCCCCTCTCCCCCTCCCCCTCTCCTCTCCCCCCCCCTCTCCTCTCCCTCCCCCCCTCTCCCTCCCCATCCCTCCCCCCTCTCCCTCCCTCCCCCCCCCTCTCCTCCCCCCTCCCTCCCCCCCTCTCCCCCCCCCCCTCTCCCTCCCCCCCTCCCCTCCCCCCTCCCTCCCTCTCCCTCCCTCCCCCCCTCTCCCCCCTCTCCCTCCCCCCCCTCTCCCTCCCCCCCCTCTCCCTCCCCCCCTCTCCCCCTCCCCCCCTCTCCCTCCCCCCCCCCTCTCCCTCCCCCCTCTCCCTCCCCCCTCTCCCTCCCCCCCTCTCCTCCCTCCCCCCCCTCTCCCTCCCCCCCTCTCCCCATCCCTCCCCCCCCCCCCCTCTCCCCCCCCCCCTCCCTCCCCCCCCTCTCCCTCCCCCCCCTCTCCCTCCCCCCCTCCCCCTCCCCCTCTCCCTCCCACCTCTCCCCTCCCCCCTCTCCCTCCCTCCCCCTCCCCTCCCCCCTCCCCTCCCCCCTCTCTCTCCCCCCCTCCCTCCCCCCTCCCCCTCCCTCCCCATCCCCTCTCTCTCCCTCCCCATCCCTCTCCCTCCCCATCCCTCCCCCCCTCCCCCTCCCTCCCCCCTCTCCCTCCCCCCCTCCCTCCCTCTCCTCCCCTCTCCCTCTCCCCCTCCCCCTCCCTCCCTCCCCCCCTCCCCCCTCCCTCCCTCCCTCCCTCCCTCCCTCCCCCCTCCCTCCCTCCCCCCCCCTCCCTCTCCCTCCCCCCTCCCCCCCTCCCCCCCCCCCCCCTCCTCCCCCTCCCCTCCCCCTCCTCCCCCCATCCCCCCCCCTCCCTCCCCCTCTCTCTCCCCCCCCTCCCCCTCTCTCTCCTCCCCCCCTCTCTCCTCCCCCCCTCTCTCCTCCCCCTCTCTCTCCTCCCCCTCTCTCTCCTCCCCCTCTCTCTCCTCCCCCCCCTCTCTCTCCTCCCCCCTCTCTCTCCCTCCCTCAACCCTCCCCCCCCTCCCCCTCTCCCTCCCCCAACCCCTCCCCCCCCTCTCTCCCTCCCCCCCCCTCTCCCTCCCCCCCCCCTCTCCCTCCCCCCCTCCCTCCCCTCTCTCTCCCTACCCTCTGCCTGCCTGCACCCAGCATATTACAATATATTTTGTTTTGAGGTGTGATCTTCAGTTCTGTAAAATTTTATACATCAATTTAATTTTTATAGGTGAAGACATTGGGGAAGATGTTAATGAAGCAATTGAAGAAGAAAAACCTATATCTGAGATTAAGCAAGAACCTTATAACCTACCAGATGGCTTTAAATGGGAGACCCTAGACCTCACTAATGAAGAAGTGGTTAGTTTTTTTTCCATGTACAATGTCTGAATTTTAATACTTTCATAAATACTTCTATATACTTTTAATAAATAAGTTAATGCATTCTTGATATAATTCCACAGGTTTAATCTAATTTTGTCACAAATTTCACTGTTAAAAATCCTTAAGTGTACAAGTACCATAGTTTAAGGGGGCGTCAGAGGATTATAGATGAAAGTTGTTCAATGTCAACCAATATTAATTTTCTAGTTGTACATATATGAAAAGTGCTTAAATTGTCCCAAGTTTCAGTACTGCAGCGTAAATAGAAAGTTTTATTTTTGTTTTTTCCAACGTTTTTTACACATTTTCAAGTCCACACTTCAGAACACACGTTTCAGATACAGTATAATTATTCTGTGACACTTTTCTGACACATTAGCATATAATAAAGGATTTGGGGCTTTAGAATTTCCTAAACATCTTTAGTTTTCCTAATACAAATGTTCAAAGTTCCCCAAATTTTTTTTGCAAATATGGC